GAACCAACTTGAAAGGCAGAGTTACAGAGAGGCAGAGGCAGAGAGAGAGAGAATGAGAATGTTTTCTGTCCATTGGTTCACTCCCTAGATGGCTGCAATGGCTGGAGTTGGGTTGATCCGAAGTCAGGAGCCAGGAGCTTCTTGGAGGTCTCCCATGTGGGTGCAGGGGCCCAAGGACTTGGGCCATCTTCTACTGCTTTCCCAGGTCACAGCAGAGAGCTGGATCGGAAGTAGAGCAGCCGGGCGTGGAACCGGTGCCCATATGGGATGCTGGCACTGCAGGCAGTGGCTTTATCTGCTATGCCACAGCGCCAGCCCTGTGCTCTGCTTTCTGATTGGTTCTGAATTCCATCTCTTGTGTTCAGTCAGTTATTATGGTTCTATCTGCCTATCTCCCAGAGGCTGGAAAGGTGTCTTAGGGATGGACCTATGATATGCAGGAAGAAGTTTCTTCCTGAATGGAGGGCTGGATTAAGATCAAGGCTGAGTTTCTTGATTGCTTGTTTGTTCATTCATTCACTTAGGTATTCATCCATTTAAAAAATATTGACTCCCTAGGCACTACTGTTGATAATGGGGATACAATAGAAATAAGACAGATAAAGTCTTTTCTCAAAGAGCTTATTTTTAGTGGGGAAGATAGACAAATAATTTTCGATAGTAAAAACTACTAAGAAGTAAGTAAGATTAGGAAGATAGAAAATGAAGATGGGAAGATGTGCTATTCAGAATTGTTAAACAAGGCCTCTCTGAAGAGATGGCATTTGAAAATAACTCTGCAATGAAAGCAATATTAAAGAGAAAGGGAATATTCCAGATAGAAGGAACAAATACTCAAGAAGGCTTTGCGACCAAAGTATAGGTGAGGAGGAAAATTGTAAGAAGTTATATAGATGAGATTATATTGGCTTCTCTAGGCCACAGTGACGATTTGGATTTTTATTGGTATCATAGGAAATTATTGGAAGATACTCAACAGAGGCCAGACCTAATCCAATTTAGGATTTAAAAATATCACTTCAGTTGCTATGTGGAGAATAAACTGAGAAGGACAAGAATGGAAGTGCAGAGACCAGATTGGAGAGATGATAGAGTTTGCTGATAACTGGATATTGGAAAGAAGGAAAAGCAGAAACAAAGATGATGCCCAGATTTTTTACCTTAGCATGCAGTTGAATGTCAGTGTTTATTAAGATAGGTAAGGTTTGGAGGCAGAAATCATGAGTTCTGTTTTAGACATATGAAGTTTCAGGTACTGACTGTGTGGGGGCCCATATATGTGTGTGGAGTTTTCAGTGGAGAGTTCTTCCTGCTGGGGAGTAGAGAGAGGTGAGATTCTGTTTATTTCTTCCATTCTCTCTCATTGAAATAGATTTGCAAGTCTGGACTGGGCAGTGACTTCTGGGCTTACTACTGCCTGGTGTAACCTTTGGCTCCATGGCCAGCCACTGGCTCCTACAGACCGGATGAAGCAGCCTGGAGACACAAGTGAAGAAAGCCTCCAGGTGGCCCATCCTCAGAGTGTAGCCCTCTGGCTGCTGGCCTCGCCCAGCTTGCCTCATGGAGAGGATGAACTGGCTGAGCAGACTGGCCTCCCGAGGCCCTGGGCACCGTGTACCTCAAGGGGCCAGTCTACAGACCCCTGTCATGGCTGACCCTGAGACCTGCCTCATGGTCTTCAAGAATCATTGGTCCCAGGTAGGAGACTGTGCCAAAGTACCTAGCCCATTGGCTATTGAGTCTTCTTAACCTTCTGTGTTCTCGTCAATCCATTTAATTACCTTATCATCATAGATTCCTTCCATCTTCTCTCCCTTATCCCCAGGTGGTGCGAATCCTGGAGCGGCAAGGCCCTCGGGCAGCTCCTGGGGGTGCAGATGATCTCAGTGCTGTGCGCAACCACACTTACCAGATGTTGACACTGCTAGCAGAAGATCGTGCAGTCCCTTCAGCCCCCACTTGCCCTGGACCCCTGCTGGAGTTTGCCCTGCGTGAGGATCTGCTGACCCGTGTGTTGGCATGGCAGCTGCAATGGGATGAACTTGGGGATGGGGTTGAGGAGCGACGGGCTGAACAACTGAAACTATTTGAGATGCTAGTGAGTGAAGCTCGCCAGCCATTGTTACGGCATGGTCCAGTTCGTGAGGCTCTGCTCACCCTGCTGGATGCCTGTGGTCGCCCTGTGCCCAGTAGCCCAGCACTGGATGAAGGCCTGGTGCTATTTCTCAGCCAGCTGTGTGTGTGTGTGGCCCGGGAGCCTTCATTACTCGAGTTCTTCCTGCAGCCACCTCCGGAACCTGGAGCTGCCCCCCGTCTTCTCCTGTTTTCTCGCCTTGTCCCTTTCGTCCATCGAGAGGGTACTCTGGGCCAGCAAGCCCGTGATGCCCTCCTTCTGCTCATGGCTCTGTCAGCTGGGAGCCCCACCGTGGGCCGCTACATCGCAGATCACTCTTACTTCTGCCCGGTTAGCACCCCTTTGGATGGGGGTGGGGGGAAAGAGTATGGCATGCAGACACTGGACAGCCTCTTCGTATCCAGATGATGTGGAGAGGCTACATACCAGAGTCTCCAGGAAGTAGTCCCTGCATTTGAAAGCAGCCCACTGGAATTGTAGTGGGGATGGAATATAAGCCTAGATGGACTAAGATTCTTTGTGGGCCAGTGTTCCCAGGTGAGGTCAGCTATGCCCTGTAGTTGAATACCTGCTCTGGTAACAGCTCTCACCCCTACTCCTATCAAAACTTTGGAGTAATAGCTCCCCTGTCGCACTTTTTATACTGTCTGAGCCTTTGGTAACTTCCCTTAGGTGCTGGCCACAGGGCTGAGTGCCCTATACTCCTCACTGCCCCGAAAGATTGAGGTGCCAGGGGATGATTGGCACTGCCTGCGACGAGAAGACTGGCTGGGAGTGCCAGCCCTTGCACTTTTCATGAGTTCCCTAGAGTTCTGCAATGCAGTCATTCAGGTAGGCTGGGATTCTTAGGAAGTCTGGCCCTTGGTCATTCTGGGGAGATGAGGTGTGGGGGGTGCCTTCCTTGGAGTCCTGCTGTTCTGCCATCTTGGGGGTAGAAGCTGTACTATACTGTTCTATTTCCTTCCTGACAGTGGTCTCTCATGATCTTCCTCCTCTGTCACGTCCCTTTTAGGTGGCTCACCCCCTGGTGCAGAAGCAGCTGGTTGATTATATCCACAATGGGTTCTTGGTGCCTGTCATGGGACCTGCTCTGCACAAGGTGAGAGTCATGGGTAGCAAGGTAGAATTGAGGCTAGGCTGTGGGATGGTAACCAATGACAAGACCAGTGTGGGAGGTATTGGGTGGGAATTTCCTCCCTTTTTCCCCATCAACTCCTGATTTTTCCTTAGAATTCAGGGAAAATGACTCAGGGTATGTGTAGGGAAGCCCTAAATTTCCAAACTTTCCCTTCCCTTCGTCCAGACCTCTGTGGAGGAGATGATCGCCAGTACCGCGTATCTGGAACTTTTCCTAAGGAGTATCTCCGAGCCTGCCTTGCTCCGTACCTTCCTGCGATTCCTGTTGTTACACCGGCATGACACCCACACCATCCTTGACACCCTCGTTGCCCGTATTGGCAGCAACTCCCGGGTATGGCCCTTACCTCTGTCCTGTCTTACCTGGGTGAGCCATCTTCTCTCTCGGACCTTTGTTCTGAGAAGGTGTTCCTGACCTCTTTTGGCTTTTGTGTCCAGTAATCACTTCAAAATTAGGTGGCAGTTACTTTCTAGCATTAAATTTTTAACCATTTTGAGGACAGATTTTAATCTATTTCTCTGCTTTTATAATACATTAACTAGAACACAATTACCTTTTCTGTATGACTGGTTGTTTCTTATGACTGTAGGTTTTGCTGTTTTGCAGTGCTTGTATCATTGGCCTGAGGTTCTGTTCGTACGTTTTATCTTGTTGTGACCTGCTGTGGGTTACCTGAGATCACTTTGGCTTTTGTGTCTGCTTTAATAGATGGTTCAGCTATTACTGATATGCTTATCTCCTCTCCCCTTTGGATTTGCTGCATTTGAGCTGTAACTTGGGGCACAAACCCACCTACAAACCTATTGGTTGTATTTCTTCCTTCTGAATATTTTTTTAACTGTTCACTATGTACCATATAGTGTGTGTACCATATAATATAGTATATGTGCCATATAAACAAGGCAAACATTGATGTTGACATCCCAAAACTTAATTTATTTAAAGAAGTTAGATAAGCAAACATATGAATAAAGTAATTGGAGATTGTGATCAGTGTTATGAAAATACCAGACAGGGTACTTAGAAATGAGAGGCTGGTCAAGAAAGACCTCTCTGAGGTGGTGACATCAATCTGGGACATAACGTTTGGGAAAGAGTTAATCTATTGACCATCAAATGGGAGAGCAATCTAGGCAGGAGGAGTAGCGTGCAAAAGACATCCAGTGGGAGAAGAACTTAATGTACTTGAGGAAATGAAAGACCAGTGTGACTAGGGGTGTAGGAACAAGGGGGAGAAGGGAATGAGATGAAAGTTGAGAGGTAGGAGTCTCAGATCAGCATGTAGTTTGTAGGTGGTGATAAGGAGTTTGGATTTTAACCAATAGAGGTGTTTACAAAATGGGAGTAAACAGCTTTTAAGTAGTAAATATGTAATGGCTTTCTAGGGGAATGAAGTGTTAGTTTAGCCATGGATTTTATGGCATTTATTTTGGCTTTAGGACAATATTTGTTTCCTTCCTTTATTATAAATAGTTGAGGTTTCTTGGATCTGTGTGTTTAAAATTAAAGTTCTTAAAACACTGAGAATTCTGGGAAGCTATTCTAGGTAATTGAGATACTAGATCAGTGAGTTTCTGTGCACAGCTATATTTTGTATGGGTACATTTTCTGAATAGTTAAGGTAGGGTGTATAAGAGACTTCCAGATTGACTTTGATCACATCATGTTTCTGAACAGAGTATACGCTAGAGGCATGTGTAGAGCTTGAAGATGAGAAGTACAACAACAGATTCTAAGCTTTGTCCCACATCTCTTGAATTATAATCTTTGGGAGTAAGCATATGTCTTTTTTTAAAAAAAAGATTTATTTATTTATTTGAAAGTCAGAGTTACACAGAGAGAGGAGAGGCAGAGAGGGAAAGACAGAGAGAGAGGTTTTCCATCTGATGGTTCACTCTCCAATTGGCTGCAATGGCTGGAGCTGTACCGATCCAAAGCCAGGAGCCAGGAGCTTCTTCCAATCTCCCATGTGGGTGCAGGGGCCCAAGGACTTGGGCCATCTTCTACTGCTTTCCCAGGCCATAGCAGAGAGCCAGATTGGAAGAGGAGCAGCCGGGACTAGAACCGGTGCCCGTATGGGATGCTGTTGCTTTAGGCCAGGACATTAACCCGCTGAGCCATAGCACTGGCCCTAGCATATGTATTTTTAAAGTGTTCTAAAATGATTTGTGCTTTGGGTTAGGATTTATTGGTATAAATCAATAGAGAATAGATACCAAAATTTTATTTTACAAAGATATTTTAAAAGTTTTATTTCTCATTATGCTAAAGTTAGATCTTAATCTTATGTCTGTTTGCCCTTATTTAATGCCCTTGTCCTGTTTGTGTTTAAAGACAGTTGACTTTCTTCTTGAGGTTAATAATTTTTCCCTGATGTTGGGCCTTATCTGTCTTCCTTTTGTCTGAAACTTATCCTAATTTCTTTGATTCTCCCTCTTTGTGTTTAACCCTTAGCAATTACTTCTATTAGTCTTCCACTTGGACCTCTGATCTTTGGAGACTTTCATGTTCTTAGGGTACCAGATTGCTTTTGATTTCAGATGCCCATGTTAAACATGGATTGCTTCCTTTTGTACTTTCTGGTCCTTTCAGACTTGATTCTGTTGGCCTGACTTTGTAACTTCTATAGCCTTGTCTTTTATGCATTGACGTAAATTACTCTGGTTAATCCGTCTGTGTACCTATTGATCTCTGTTAGTTTCCTATTTCTATCATAACAAATTATCACAAATTTAATGGCTTAAAACAACAAATTTATTATCTTACAATTTTTGGGGTCATGTGTCAGAGATTTCAACAGGTTGAAATCCAAGTGTTAGAGGAATTGGGGGATGTATTCCACTGGAGGTCCTAGGGGAGGATCTGGTTCCTTGCCTGTCTGGGTTATTGTCAGAATTTCTTTGCATTTGTGGGACTGAGATTTCTATTTTCTTGCTGTCAGCTGAAGACCAGTCCCAGTTTACAGGGCTGACCACATTCCTCGGCTGTAGTCCTCATTTCCATTTCTAGTAATGATGGGTCAAGTTCCTCTTACACTTCAAATTTTGACTTAGCTTGAAAAGGATCTTTGCTTTTAAGGAATCATGTGATTTGATTGTGCCCAGCTAGGTAATCTGGGAAACTTTCCCAACTTCGATTCCATAATCTCAATCAAATCTGTGAGGTCCCACCATATAAAAAAAAAATATTTACAGGTTATAGCAAGTAGGATGTAGACATCTTTGGAGGATTGCTTTTCTGCTTTCCATACTACTTTCTCAGTGAGTTTGAACTTTTTCCTTGCTAGTTAAAATAAGCCCTCTGAACATCTCTGCAAAAATGTCGACTGCTGTTTTATCTCTTTCCTACTATGTGATTGACTTCTAATTCTCCCAGTCATTTAGCAAATAATGAACACCTAGGCTGTACAGATAGTGCTACACACTAAGACCCCATTAGTTGCCTTGATGGAGCCCAAGATGTCTGACCTATTTGTCATAAAGGAATTATAGAGGAAGTACTATGGAGATTCAGAGGAGTGGGATTCAGGGGAGTGAGGGAGAGCTTACATATGTCTGTTTTCTTTGTCCCTTCAGAGATAAACTACCTTTCTTTTCTAAAACAAAAGGTTTGCCCTGCTCTGGATCCACCTACTTTTTCCTTTTTTCCTGTCAGCTGCCCTTGAGTTTTTCTTTATCCCACCTTCTGAAAGATACCCTGGTGTTGGTGGAGAGTGACTCAGACTCAATGTTCACCGCCCTACCCACTTGCTAGTTGGACTTCTTCCAGGTTCCCCATGGTTTCTTATTGGTAGGTATTTAGTTACTGTGTTGCCACAGTCCCTACTGACAGGCATTCATTTGGTTACCCTGTTGCTGTTATTTCTTGATGGTCATTCACTCAGACACAGTTTTGTTTAGTGTCTCTTTTTTCAGGTTTTCATTCAAGTACTGCTATAATCTCTGCTGATAGGTACACATAGCCAGAGAATCTACTGGTAGGAATATGGTGTATAGAAACCCATAAGGTCTGACATGGTTCATTCCTGTTTGTGGATAGTGAAGTCTTTCCCATAGGGATCATGTGAGAATGACTATTATGTGTCTTGTGCTGTGCACATTTGTTCTTCTATGAGTAGCTGGTTGGGTCTGGGGCTGGGGGAGGTTTCCATTTGCTGAGCAGTTTGGAGGGTAGAGAGCTCTTATGGTGACTCCTCCCTCCTCCCACACCCCCAGCTCTGCATGGTCTCTCTGAGTCTCTTCAGGACCCTCCTGAACCTCAGCTGTGAGGATGTCCTGCTGCAGCTGGTTCTCAGGTACCTGTGGGGGCAGGGCTGAGGGATGGCTGACCCTGAACCCACAGGGTCCTCAAAGCCTTGTGCATTGCTAGGGTGATGGGCTGTATTGGGGTTGCTCATGAGTATCCTCTTAGAGCTTGGCTTAACCATATAGTTCCATTGGCCTGTTGTTGCCCCAGGCTCTGTCACTTACTTCATGATCTACCTTGTGTCCTCTTTCTGCTCTTTCCCAGGTATCTTGTCCCATGTAACCACGTGATGCTGAGTCAGAAGCCAGCTGTGCGTGATGTGGACCTATATGGACGAGCAGCTGACAAGTTTCTCTCCCTAATCCCACGCTGTTGTCGCCACCGTGCCCCTAGCCCACCTCGTCCAGAGCATGCCTCATGGGCACGAGGTGGGCCTAGCAGAGAGGCAGGGAGAAGGGAGGACATCACGGGTATGGCCTGGATTCTGGGGGGAGTCTAGTAAGAATGTGGGGCTAGGGGGAGGGGAGGGAGGTGGCCATGAGTGGCATTTCCTCTTTGGGGAGATTGATGAGCAGGCTTGTGAGACAGGATAGAAGAAGAACTTATTAAATCAGGCCCCTCCTAACCTAAGGTGTCTGTCGCCTGCTCTAAACCAATTAGGAGCAAGGAGCCATAAGACCCTAACTGCAGAAAACCTCTTAGTGTTCTGGTAGGGACTTGCTCAACCTGCACAGTTTGCCCAGAATAAGCTAGTGGAACCCATTTTTGACCTTCCTGAGGTGGTAGTAGTCAGCAGCATCGCCATTTTAAATACGTTGTTTGTGAGGAACAAAGCTCCTGTGCAGAACACAAAGCTGGGTACAAACTGAAGTGTTGTGTGCCAAGTGAGATGAACCAGAACTCTGGGCTGGGTACAGATCGAAGTGCTGTGTGCTGAGGGGGTATGGCTATGCCTCCCCAACCCAGAAAAGCCCCTGTTAAAATAGCTCCCATTTGGGAGCCAGTTGGCAGAACCTCTTCCTACTGTGCTGTCTCTTTCATATCTGAGCATAAACCCCAATAAATCTTATGTGGGTTGCACGTTACCTCTTGGTAATTTCTATTTGCAACTGAGCCACAGAACTTGGGGTCACTGACATAAGGAGGATTGTTAGTTTCACTCTAGAAATTTAGAGTGAGACTTTTGGACAGAGCTGTACCTCTTCTTCACTCTAGTTCTGTACTCTTCCTGTTTCCATTTTTCTCTGATGGTAGTGGAGGTGAGGGAGGGCAGTAGATATAAAAGGTCAGCCTGGAGGTTGGAGAGTTATCAGCTGTCTAAATGGGTTCTATGTTTTTGCCTCCTCTCTTAGTCCCCCTAAATGTCTTCTCTTTACACTTGGACCTCTGTCTCTTTGAGTCCTATTGTGTTTTTTTCCCTCTGTAGGCCCTGGAAGCCCAAGTGTTGACTCCTCCTCTATGGTGACCATGCCCCGGCCCTCTACACCATCTCGTTTGGCTCTCTTCCTGCGGCAGCAGAGCCTGGGTGGCTCTGAGTCCCCAGGCCCAGTGCCTCGCTCACCAGGGCTTGCTGCATCCCCAGCTTCTAGCCCTGGCCGACGGCCTAGCCCTGTGGAGGAGCCTGGTGAGCTGGAAGACAATTACCTGGAGTATCTGCGTGAGGCACGCCGTGGTGTAGACCGCTGTGTCCGAGCCTGCCGTACCTGGTCTGCCCCTTATGATGGCGAGCGTCCCCCTCCTGAGCCCAGTCCTGTTGGCTCCCGGACTAAGAAACGCAGCCTACTGCCTGAGGAGGACAGGGATAAAGTGGGGGAGGGGGAAGAGGAAGAGCCGGGGAGTAGGGGGCTAATTGGGGGTACAGGGGAGGGTCCTGGCCACCTGCCCCCTCCGCAGCTCAATGGGGTGCCAGGACCATGGCCTGAGGGGCCCAAGAAGGTTCGTCTGGTACCACATGCAATGCCACATGAGGGAGCTGGGGAACTGCCAGAGGGGACCTCAGAGGGCATGACAGGACTAGAAAGCTTTGGGCAGGAGCTCCGTGAGCTGGAGGTGGCGTTGAGCAATGGAGGAGCTGGCTCAGAGCCCCCCTTAGAACCTCCACTACCTCTTGAGGAGGAGGAGGCCTACGAGAGCTTCACTTGTCCCCCTGAACCCTCTGGCCCCTTCCTCAGCAGCCCTTTGCGGACTCTGAACCAACTGCCGAGCCAGCCCTTCACTGGTAAGCTATTTAGCTAGGCCTTCTCCCTTGTGTACTCTTTGCATGTTCTCAACATGTTTGTGCTGGTTTTGAGACTTCTTGGCCATGTCATTTGTGTGTACTTGCCTAGCTCCTCATCCATTTTGCTTGAGTCCCTTCCAGATACATTTCATGTCATACTTGTGTCTCCGTGTCTGTTTTCCATGCTTGTGCTGGTTTGACTATTGACTGATGTCTAAGCCTTGTATGTCTGTCCTATGTGCATGTTCCTCTTCTTCTCCTAGTCTGGCCATTTCCTGGGATGTGTGATTAGGCTATTCTATGTTTGGTGTTTCCTAGTGAATCACAACAATATATGAGAACCATGTCCAAGACATAGTGTCATATAAGAGGCCACTGTAAGCCCTTTTCCATACTGTTGCCACCAGTATATTTGTCTGGTTGTTGGATCTGTCAGCTCTCATGTGGTACAGGGTCAGCTCTTCTGGTACCATTAACCCCCACTTCCCGCCCTCCCCTCTTCCCCCAACCCAGGAGCTTCTTCCTTCCTGTCTTTTCAAAGAAGATCCAATTTCAAGTTTTCTTCTGTCTACTGTTTTACCTTCTTGGTTGCCTTGGCTGCCTAGTAAGACTGCCTTAGGGATTTATAGTTAATTGTAAGTATTGAAGCAGATAGTGTGAAATACTTCTTTGAGGGCAAATGACAAAGCATGACCTTGAGTTCTTTTGCACTTTCTTCTGCTGAGTTCTTTTGGGCTGTTCAGGATGGCCTAGGTAGTTGGGCTAACTGCTCTTTGTTTTTGAGAGGCAGCCCAGCCCAGCCCAGCCCAGCCCTTCCCTCATCAAGCTGTGATCCTTACTTCATGCCCACAACTGGAGAACTGAAACAGTACCTCTGGGAAGCAGTGTAGTGCCTAAGGCTTCTACCACAGATTTTGGAGGAAATGTACTTTAAGTTAACATCCCATCTGTATCAGTGATGCATATAAATCACTTACTACAGTACTGGAACAGTGGCAGCTTTTCACTAGGACTATCCTCTTTGGGAACATGGCAGATTTAAGTTGATCAAGGCAAATACACATTTTCTGTTTATTTGTAGTTTGGTTATCATACTGTGATCAGGTTATGTGCTGATTGAGCTTAGAGTGTGCTTGCTCTACTGGGGCTTCTGCTCTGGAATCATGCTAACTACTTCTTGCAGACTACAGCTACCAAAAAATGTATTTTTCCACTTATTTAGCCTCTGCTCTGCTTCTTCCTGCTTGGTGCCACTAGGAGGTGGCATGCAGGTCTTACCAGAGTCTTAAAGTACTAATGAAAGTTAATTTTTTTTTTCTTCTTCTGAACTCATCTGCACTTTTTGAATTGTCTCTTAGAAGAAATCTCCAGGACAGAAAGGAGCAGAAAACAAAGTATGGGTTCTCCTAGGACCCTGTTAGAGTTGTTTTTGGGCTAAGGCTAGTCATAGGCACCTGGAGTAGTGCTATTTTATTTTATTTTATTTTTTTTTCAGGATTTACTGCCTGCTGCCCTTTGTTGTTTTCCTGTTTCAATTTGTAGTATAGTTCTTAGGTATACTCCTTTCCCCCTGAAATCCCTGTTCAGAAAGACTGATGATTCTAGTCTTAGTGGTAATGTCACTTAGCTGAGGCCATTTCTCCTGATAGATAATGCTAATTCCTTCTGTTCTCTTTGCTAACAGAGTCTGTCCTGAGTCAATTTGCTGTGCCCCTGAGCTAAGCTATTCTTTTACTACACATTCTGTTCCACTTTCTTGGTTCCCAGCTGCTGAAAGATGGAACTGACACCTTCTCTGGTTCCTCAAAGATTCACACTCTACCCCTCCTCCTGCTCCCACCCTGGTGTAAATTGGCCCATTGTATAATCACTTTTCTTCATCATACTTTCTTTCTGACTCAGGTTGTTTTTATTCTGTCTTGTGTGGAACCTGGATCTTTCTTCTTCTTCTTCTTTTTTTTTCCCAGTCCTGATCACTTTCTTTGCTTGTTCTTTCTTCTGTTATGCCTCTTGAGTGAAGCTGTTTTAAAAACTGAGAAGTATTATGTAGGTTCTGATTACAACCATGAAATCTATTAGATCTTACTAAATGCTTTATTTATATATCTCTTTGATCCTCTTAATCACCATATGAGGTAGGTATATTTCCTTATTTTACCAAGTAAGAAACTGAAGCTTGGAGTTTTGATTTATCTAACAACATAACTAGTAAAGGGTCAAGATGAAATCTCAAACCAGATCTGTGTGATTCCAGGGCCAAAGATTTGGCTCTTCAGCTTGAGTGTGTGAAAAGCTGGCATCTAGACTCTTGGGGGTCGGTGTGGTGTTTGTCTTCTTATTTCCCTCAGAGTAGGTGGTCATGGAATACTTAGCTATACCCAGAGACTGACATTCAAATAATTTTCATCTAGTGGGGGGCTCTTGTTTTTGGGAGCAATGCGTTCCATGTGCATTGTGTTCAGGCCTTGTATCCTTGTGCCCACCCCTCCCAGGCCCCTTCATGGCTGTGCTCTTTGCCAAACTCGAGAACATGCTGCAGAACTCCGTCTATGTCAACTTCCTGCTGACGGGGCTGGTGGCCCAGCTGGCCTGTCACCCCCAGCCCCTGCTCCGCTCTTTCCTGCTCAACACCAACATGGTCTTCCAGCCCAGTGTCAAGTCCTTGCTGCAGGTGTGCGATGCATGCATGCATGGGTGCGTCCAGGCTCCATGGTGGGCCAGGTCCGCAGCTGGAGTGACCTTGGGTGGGCTGGGAACAGACCAGTGGGAATAGAAAGGAGTGTCAATCTAGAGCCACCCAGAAATGTCATGAAGTTGTGCTTTGTAGGTGCTGGGCTCTGTGAAGAATAAGATTGAGAGCTTTGCAGCCTCCCAGGAGGACTTCCCAGCACTGCTATCCAAAGCCAAGAAGTACCTCATTGCTCGTGGCAAGTTGGACTGGGCTGAGGGTCCTACAGCAGGACCTGCTCCCCGCCGCTCCGATCCCCTAGGTGAGGCCTATCACTCTAACCTCCCTAGATAGCCTATTAACCATTACTAGTTGAGCTCTTATTAAGGGTAAAATATTGTACTAGGAACTAGAATTGTGGAAAACTGAGTCTTGATGTTGACACTCAGGCTTCTGATAGAGAGCCAAATTAGCAGTACTGGCAAAAACTAATCTAGGATTGGGGGACAGGCAAAGGGACAGAGTAGTCTCTAGGTTGAGATATTGTTACATCTTAGAAAAGAACATGACATTTGACATGGGTTCTTGAGAGATAGGTAGGACTTAGGTAGGCAAAGAAGTGGGAGTTTTGTTCAGGAGACATTTTGAACTGTTTAGTTTGAGTGGGGGATTTAAAAGGTGGTGGAATGGTTAGTGATAAGGCTGGAGAGAATTAACCAGAGCAGAGAGTTGTTAGAAGTTGGGCTGGGTAGAAGTGATCTTTAAGGCAATAAGAAACTGTTGAAAGTTCCTAAATCTGGAAATGAAGAGATGAGTATGTTAGCTCAGGTGACATGGAGCTAGAAGGGAAACCAGGCAGGACAATCAAGAGGCTTCTGTTGCAATGCAGGTGTGAACAGTGAGGCTTGAATTTGAGTGGTGGAAAAAATAGGAAGCATTTTGTAAGGTAGAAATGGGGTGGAAGAATTGGTAGAATTTGATGAGTGGTTTTGGAATGTAAGGAAGAAGGAGGAATTCAATATAACTGAACTTCTAAATCTAGATTTTTCATTCAACAAGTATCTGAGCATGTGCCATATGTACTGGGCACTGTCTTTGGCTCGGGGTGGTATGAGATGTGATCTTTTTCTTCAAAGAAGATACTATCTGAAGAGTGACTAGAGGAAAGTATTAGTAGAGGGAGCAAAGCCCTGAAGATAGTGGAAGTAATGGAATCTACAGTACCAGAAAAGGTTTAACTTTGAACTTGGAAAGATTGTTTTTGCTTTTTCTACCTTTGAGGAAAATGAGGAGCAAAGAGGCAATGACATGTACCATGGAGTTGTGAATGAAGTAGGGAAAAATTAGGGATTTCATGTCATCCTTTATTTGCTAATTAAAGTTGGAGACAAAAATCAGAGGAAGTTTCCCAGAGTACTGGCGATAGTTAAATTAAGCCAGGAAGGATGAAGAAAGTAGAGTGAGCAAAATTTAGGCAGAGGGAACTAGAGAAGCATGAAAGTACCTGGAGAGTTCCAAGAAGGCAGGAGTGGATGCACAAGCAAGGTGAGGTGTGGAGAGTTTGAAGAGAGATTGGAGAGGGACAGGGAGCCTGGTTGTGAAGGGCTCTGAATGCCAATTAATAGATCTATGTAGCATTACTCTAGCCAGTTTAGAGGTCGGTAGTGGGAACAGTTATCATGATCTACAGTTTAGAGTCTAGGCCTTGATAGTGTTCATGGGCCCAGAGCCAGGTATCTAGGCAGAAAATTAGAAGGCAGAGGACAATGTTTTGAACGACTTACTTGATTCTAAGTTGACATGAAATTATCTGGCCACAACCAGTGGGAGGGAGCCTTTGTTGGTTACAGGATGGGGATTGGTGAATGGTGCAATGGTGGAACAGGACAGCAGATCTTAGAGGGACAATGGAGCATGACAGAAATGAAATCTTTGAACTGTGATTGCGTATATAGCTCCTGTAGGTATTGAAGGGGCAGAGGATGTGGGTCATGTATTATGATGTGCAGGATTAGGTGGGAGTGGTTTACTGTAGTTCAGGAGGGTGATGGGAAGCCTGGACTGAGGAGGAACAGCATGATGGTGGTAGAGTAGTGTTTGGATAGAGAAGAATTCTTGATTGCAGAGATGTGGAAATGGAAGGAATCTTGACTGGGAATGAAGTGACTGAAGTGTTCACTAGTTAAGCTTGAGGATGATGTGTGGCTGGGTGGGGGTCTGGATGAAGGAAAAAGGCTAGACAGGCATTATTTTAGTGTTAGAGAAAGAACCCTGTCCCCACTCTGGCCCTCAGAGTTATCTTCAGGGAAGGAATAGGAAATTGTGCCTGAGGCTTGTTTCATGGCCATGTCCTCCTTTCCTCTATTCCCTCAGAATCCTATTGGAAAAGTTCAGGAATCTTTTTTGGGGGAGGGGGGTATCATCTTCAGACCTAGGGAGGTTCCCTGATCCCAGCACTTTCATGATACCGCTGTTTATTCCCAGTGAAGAGCCGGAGGCCATCCTTGGGGGAGTTACTTCTGCGGCATGCACACAGTCCAACCAGGGCCCGGCAGGCGGCACAGTTGGTCCTTCAGCCTGGGCGAGACGGAGCAGGACTTGGCCTAGGTGGGGGCTCCCCTGGGGCTTCAACTCCAGTTCTACCCGCCCGGGGAGGGACCCCTGAGCGTCAAGGTGAGGCTCTGCGAGTCAAGAATGCTGTCTACTGTGCAGTCATTTTCCCCGAGTTTCTCAAGGAGTTGGCTGCCATCTCCCAGGCCCATGCTGTCACTTCGCCTTTCTTATTGGATACTTCAGAGGAGGGATCTGGCCCTCCCATCTCAGGCTCTGGGTCCCTCAATCCTTAACTTTCTTCCATGGACAATCAGGGCCACAGGTGCTCTGGGCTGCAACCAGGGCACAGGCTCCTTTTTATGTTCAGAGGCAGTGGCAAAGGACTTTTTAATTTATTTCAGATGAATGTTTTATGGAGAAATTGTTGCAATATGTATAAAAGGGAAATCTCTATTCTGGGCTCATTCTTCTTTCCCACCCTTTCATCTGCGGACTGGGGCCCTAAAAAGGATTGTATGTAATGGGGAGGTGGTCAGGGATGTTTTCTCTCTGGTGAGGGAAGACCTGTATGCCAAGGTTCTGAGGTACCTCTTAGGCCCTTAGAGGGTGAGGAGACTTGAAACCAAGGAGAAAAGGGAAATTCTCTTCCTTCTGGGCCCCAGCAGAAAGAAGCACCATAGGCCCAGGATGGTTTGGGGGAGCAGCAGCTGATGTTTATTGGGAACCAGTATCCCTATGTCAGATCTTGGGGGCTTTGCCCCCTGCATCTCTCGCCTCAGCTTCAGTCGTCGCTGTCGAACTCCGAGGACAGACCCTGCAGCAGGGGCAGGGACATGGAGTGCCGGTCGGGATCCCCGGGTCCCCCACCCTGGGCTCCTGGTGGGGGACTGCGGGGGCTGAAGAGCCAGTTCTCTGCCAGGGTTGGGGATAGTCACAACTTGACTCATGCCCTGGTCTTTCTGCCTCCCTACTCCCTCCCTCTGGTCCTCTGTGCTGTCCCCACACCCTCAATCAGGGCCACATTCTTCCATTTCACCCTCCCTTGTCTCCCATACTCCACCCTCACCAGGGTTCTGTGGAGTTCTGGGTGCCCCACAGTTTCTCGGGCTGTACTTCCCATGCCCTCCCTCTCTCCCCGGCACATACACTTTGTCCCTTCCATTCCTCTTGTCTTCATTTCCCCTAGTAGTACCTGACAGCATCTGGGGCCCCCTCCAGAAGGGGTTTCGGCTCTTGTAGGAGAATCTGGTGGGTCTTCCCTCTGGCCCTTCCTGGGGAGGTGGTGTAGGTGGAGCTGGGACAGGTGGGGGCACATCAACAGCTTCGGGGATATCAGCAGGTGCTGATGTTGGGGACAGAGTTGGCATGATGCTGAAGTTGGGTCTGACCCAGTTGGCTCCTTGGGGCAATGGGTCTTTAGTCAGAGGTTTCTGTGGTCCCAGCACACCCTTGGGCTGCAGTGAAAACTTAAGGCAGGAGAAGGCAACAGGCAATGACCGCTGTAATCGCAGCAGCTGGGGCTCACGGGCTGTAGGCAACAGCCCCAGCTGCAGCCAGGAGCAGGAGAAGACCTGGTAGATGACATAGATGCTGTGGGTGCTTCGGAGCCAGGGAAGAGTCTGCTGTAGGCTCACCTGCCCTGGCGGCAGCAACAGGAAGGCAACCTTCTTGCGCAGGCCACCCATATGTAGGCGGATCCGACAGGGCTGCCCATCCAACAGTCGCATCTCTTCATAGGCAATCTCTGCCCGGCCATTTGGTGAGTATTCCCGAGTGCAGTGGGCAAAGGCACACTCAGACCCTGCCTGTTCCAGGAGGTTTGGCAGCGGCCCCACTGGTTTCAGTGCCCTCCGGCCCTGCCGACCTGGCAGAGCCAGGCGGGTGTGGGCTGGGCGGGACTGTTTCACTAGCACACCCAGTAGGTCATAGCAGGCTGCATCCGACAGGAAAGGAACCGCCACTACATTGGACCCAAAGCGCTCTTCAATGACCTGTAGGTGGCCAGTTTACAGATCAGGGACTGACTTAGGGTTAAGACTTAACTGGTAGCCTACTCTAGATTGACCCTCCCACCTTGCTGGTTCAATTATATCTCTATAGTATGCTCAGACTCATACTTCTGCTTATCTCCCAGTTTTCTCCTTTAGCACAACCTTGAATGTCTTCCATATACCAGACTGTGCTAGATACTAGGATACATAAAAGATTCTTCTTTTCTAGTATAGCTTAGTCTTAGAGGAGACAAGAATTTAAACAGTTATCAGCTAAGTAAAATAGTTGAGAGCAAGATGCAAAAGAGGGAAAGAAAATGATTTTATAACCTTTGTCTTTGGTAGAAAGTGGATCAAAACAGGTTTTTTGGTGGTAATACTTAAGTTTTGAAGAAATTAACTAGGTAGAAAAATGGTCATTCTAGGCAGAGGAGGCAGCCGGTGAAAAAATGTTAACTTACATACCAAGAGGGGCAAATTTAGGAATACATAATTTCATATTACTTAACATGTATGTTATGAAGAGGGAAAGACAGGAACTAGATAATAAAAGGCCTTGTGTGGGCCGGCGCCGCGGCTCACTAGGCTAATCCTCCGCCTAGCGGCGCCGGCACACCGGGTTCTAGTCCCGGTCGGGGCGCCAGATTCTGTCCCGGTTGCCCCTCTTCCAGGCCAGCCCTCTGCTGTGGCCAGGGAGTGCAGTGGAGGATGGCCCAGGTGCTTGGGCCCTGCACCCGCATGGGAGACCAGGAGAAGCACCTGGCTCCTGGCTCCTGCCATCGGATCAGCGCGGTGCGCCGGCCGCGGCAGCCATTGGAGGGTGAACCAACGGCTAAGGAAGACCTTTCTCTCTGTCTCTCTCTCTCTCACTGTCCACTCTGCCTGTCAAAAAAAAAAAAAAAAAAAAGGCCTTGTGTGCGTACTAAGTATTCTGAGGGCAATGGGAAACCACTTGAAGGACTCCTGGTTAGGTGGGACTGTGCCAAAAAGATATTTTAGAAAGCCATTTAGGTAGGAAGGCATAAAATAAAAGATAAATCAATTAAGAGTATTCTAATACTCCAAGCAGGACATGGCGAGGCCCTAAATGAAAACAGAAGGGGAAGATATTAGAGATGTATTGGCTATAGAATTAGTGGAACTTTGACAAAGAGTGTAGGGAAAGGAATCCTTGAGATAATTCCTGTGAGCCTGGTCACATAGGTGATGTCATTAGCCAAGAATGGTTACATGAATAGATTTGGAATGTCTGTTCTATATCTGTAAACTATTGCTATTATCTCAGTATATGCTTTTTTGCCCTAGCAGCCGGGGAAATTTCTTTAGGGAGTTTGAGTTCTCATTGTAATGCTCGTGTCTTGTCGTTTTGTATTGTTATTTTGGATTTAGTAACCTAGTTCTAGAAGGCACTTCATGACCAAACTGGAGCCCCTGTAAGATCCTCTTTGGTAATTGTACTTAGGTATTTTGAACTCAACCCATTCAGGATTTTTTGGCTGAGACTTCTGGCTCTCTGTTCTGCTAGGGAGCAAGGGAAAACAAAAGTTCTTCTGGGCCCCTTCTGTATTTGAGCCCCATGCTTAACATGCTATATTGTACTCCCTATCGCCAGTCCCCAAATCCCACATGTCTGATGGCATTGCTTACTTCCTGGTCTTCTGGTAGAATTTCCCAATGATCCCCCAAGGCTGACCTGCTTTTTGCTCGGTAAAGCAGTTTTAGAAGTGCTATCCTTAACAAGAAAAGGGTAGCTAGCTCATGGAGTTGGAACTGCACTTTGAACAAGATGAAGTAGCTTGAAGACTACCCTCTTTTGTCACCTGGTGAAGGAAATAATTGGGGCTCTTTTTTGATCTGCATGAAGGATTTCTCCTCATTTCCTTTCCTTTGCTTCACTGAGACATGGAATGCTTTCTCTTGGGTAGAGATAGCAAGCTGAAGAACAGGGCTCTGAGAAGAGCCAGTTGGGTTTCCAGGAGTGAGAGCAGAACCCTTGTTGGTTAGCATTTTTTGATACAATACTTTGTCCCATGACAGTGAAAGCATAGTCACCAAGCATGAATTCAGAATCCCACCCTAGTCACTCCTTTGGTGTCTCAGTGCCTGCATAAATAGGACAGATGGGAGTGTCTCCAGGAGAGATCCCTTCAAAAGGACTTTGACATTTCAAATGCCTGGTTTTTATTGTCTCCCCCTATAAAGGTTTAATTTGCCATGGAGGTTTATTTGGTCCTCTTTCTTACCCTTGAGAACCCAGTGCATATTCTAAGGTAAGAAAAGTAAGGGGCTCAGTTGCTTAGTTCTTTGTTAACTTGATTGTGTTCTTGGTAGCGTCACCATTTGAAACCACTTCCTGCTCCTACTGAACTATTTCTGGATAGAAGTTCTATAGACTTTAGAGGCCTATAAATTTAAGTTACCCAGGGGCAGGACAGGAAAGTGATGGTGGAAAACTGTCTTTCCTAGATGTACCTTGGTTGCTTTGAATTCTGAGTGGAGAGCTCTAGGAGCCACATTCTATTGAGCCATATGTTTTACAAAGTGCCTAGTAAACTCAGCAGTTCTGGAAACAGGAAATCTTTCAAAGATGCTCTTGAATTTGCCACATACCACCAGTGATTTATCATGCACATGTCTACTCTAAAGTCCCATTTAAATAGGTTTGCATTAGATAGGATAGTGAGTTTTTCTGATACTCAGAGCTGGTGTGACTTTCTACAATTGGAAAACCCCATTTACTTTCACCCTAATTCTAACCCAAGACCAATTTTCTGCATGCTGAAAAAGGTTCTGCAATACTTGGGAAGACTGGCTGTCCTGTTTCTGCTTTCTTAGGAAGCTGAACTTTGTGGTGAGCAACTTTCCAAGGAATGGGAGCTGTATGCCATTACGGTTACTTTAGTCTAGTGTATATATTGTTTTAAGATAGTTGTTTAAGCTTGTTGTTCTGCCTTCTATGAATGCCTTAAATTCATTTTCCTTCAGACCACTTAGCCAGACAGAACCTGATCCCTAAATTCTGCAAACTGAGTAGTTTTTGGTCATCTTGCTTGTAGCTGACAAGTAATTTAGTGGGACTTCTTGGATACCTACAACCCAGATGCAACTGAGTTCTTCCTGCTCCTTGAAATGTGTAGACTCAAACCCAGATTTATCAGAAGTTAATTGGAAACTAGATGGAGAGATTATATGTGAGGGGGTTGAGGTGAAGTTCAGGTTCTTTAGGAAGCTTAAAGACCTTTCGTCATCAATCCATATACCTCTTTGGCCTCATGATCACCATTACTCCTTTGAGCTTTGCTCTACAGGACTATTTGTAGATAACAAGTACACATTTTTCTTTCCCTTTCCTAGCTTGTGGTCTACCTTTAATTAGTATGTTATTCACTAATCCATCCACTTGATCATTACCTCATTTGGGTGTTTATTACACACCTTTCATGTGCCAGGTATTCCTCTCCCTCTTTGTGTGAATAACTTCTCCTTGCCTGACTAGAATGTCATTCTCTCCAGGAAGCCTTTCTGACTTCTTAAGTTCCACCTCTGACCTAGTGCTTTGCTTTCTGCTTGCATAGCTCCCGATACATTGCTTTTCAAGGAAACAGTTAATGAGACAATTTGTACAAAGCACTTTACTGCAGTGCCTGGTAAATAAGCAAGCACTGAGTAAATGTTAGTTAATACTGTCTTCATACTTCCCACTTTGCTACTCATAAGCTAGTCGATTCATTCAGGTCACACTTTGTTACTTTTTTAGACTAATTACCTACCTTATCCTTGATGAGGGTCCAGGCGGCATCAGCTTCATCCAGTGTTAGCAGATGGGGGGTACCAACCAACATGGTGGGGAGTGGGAGGGATTGGGTAGGGAGGGTAGTGGCTGCTGCAGGAACCCCAAGCTGCCCAGGGAGATAAGACCACAGGCCTTGGGTTCTGACCTGCTCAGCATGAGGTCATAGAGGTCCTGTTAGGTGATGGAGTTTTAGGTAGGGAGAGGACTATAACTTACTTCACCATAGCCTGTGGTTCATACTCTTGAGTCACCTACTTCTCCTGATTGAGGAGAGGGAAATGCAGGTATCTGCTGGGGTACATATGTGTGTGGTGGGGAGGTGGCGAAGAGGGGTTGGATTTCTCAGTCTAAGTTCTTTAAGGAGACAGGATCAGGTGTTAGCTACACATGACTTCTCTATGAGGTTGGACCAGGAGCCTGAAGGACATGGGAGAAATATAGATCAGGCAGGATTTTCACTAAGAACAAAGTTGTGGCTGCTGACCTTGGCTACACTTTGAAATTACCTGGGAGCTTTAAAAATTATTGATGCCTCCAAACATTCTGATTTAATTAGTATGGGGTGTGCCTGGGCATCATGATTTCTAAAAGCTCAGGCAATTTTAATGTTGCAGCCTAGTTTGAAACCTGTTATTAATGAGTAAATTACAATTGCATGGAAACCAGGTGTGTGTGTAGGAGGGTGTCATGCTGAGCAGTGACGATGTGTAGGGTAAGAATCTAATTGGAATGAATGTTGCCTTAGTAATAGAAGAGAACTTTCAGGAAACCAGAATGACCTGGGTAAATTTGAGGCAAATTTTCATCATGTTCCACTCATTAGGGTTATTTGTGTTCAATAACTTCTCTCCCACACCAGCTTTTATCTATGTGTTTTCTTCCTTTGTGTCTTTGTCAGATCTCAGCCTAGTGTTTTGCTGAAGAGTGGTTGTTTGAAGAACCATTCTGGAGATGCTTTCTAGTAGCTGATTTCTCACTCTGCACCTTATCTTTCCAGAGTCCTCTGGGTCTCCTTTGTACTCAGGAATACCCCTTGTGCATAGAGACTATCTTCCCCTAGTTTGTAGAGCTATTCCACAAAGTTGGCTGAAGCAGTATGAATGTGGGGGCGCAGGCAAGGGTCTGCAGTAATAGGAAAGAGTGTTGGGGAAAGTTTCCTAAAGGGGATGTGACTGACCTCAGGGGAGGCATGTCTCCTTAGACAGGGCTAAGGGTGTTTGAGTGTGGTCCCATTTTCCAGGAGAGGAATTGATATCAAATATTTGTAGAGCTCATTTGTGCTAGGGACTGTGCCAAATGCTCTGAATGTGTTATCTTGCTTAATCCTTTTTAGTAGCCTCTTGAATTAGATGCCATTATTATCTCCTTTTACAAGTGAAGAAACAGGCTTATAAAGGTTAAATAATTAGCCCTAGGCATACAGTGAATTAATAGAGGATCTAGAATTCAGACCAAAGGCTGTTTGATTCCAGCTTTAACACTAAACAGTACTTTTTGTTGAAGGGAAACCAACATGATCCTTCTGCTCACTTTAGTCTATTGTGGGAAAGGGTGCATGCTAGATGAAAAGTGCAAAGTGGTTTAATGAAAAGGAATGAGGCAGAATGAAAGAAGAGGCACACAGACCAAATAAAAAACTCCAAGTTTCTTGTTAAGTGAAACCACATTCCTTCCTCGTAATACCCCTTAAGCACATTTTTTATTATAGTTGACAAAGAGAGGTCACTAGGGTATACAGTGTTGTTGGTACCTCTGTTCTGTCCAGAAAAGAATTGAGTGCTGTCAACAGTCAGAGACAGAGTGAGAAAGAGACACTCAAGGACAAGAGATGTATACCTTTGGGTAAGCTGATAGGCTATGCAAGAAGACAGAGATGCAAAGGTACAGATACAGTCAGAGTGGCTGATAAACAGAAATAGAGATTGGTACACATGCAGATCCTAAGGAGATTCCAGAATGAGAAGGGAGTGGATGAGGTAAGTGCAGGGTTGGTGGGCTATTGGTGATATAGGATGAGAAGGATCTCTTGAGGATTTTTGTTCATTAAGATGGGCTCAGAAGGGAATTGGGTACTGATGAACTTCTCAGCCAGAAGCTTATACCTCTTGTCTTCTTTCCCTTAATGTCTGATGACCATGATTGACTATTCCTAAATTCCATACTGCTCTATTCTGACATTAAATAACTGTGTTTTTACTTTTGGCTCATAGAGTCTGAGACTGAAAGTTACTGAAGGAAAACATGACAACTGAGTTCTGGATGGAGTTGGTGAGCCTAAGTGCTGTCTGGGCTGTGTCCTACTGGGGTTTGCTTCCAGTGTAGCACACTGGGGGTCTCTCTGAGGAAGAGGCACAGATGATTTGCAGGATACCTGGAGGTGACGTGAGTGGAGAACATGAGGGGAACAAAGAGATGGGGCTGTTTGTACAGAGAATACAGTTTTGTACATGAACTGGCAGAGCAGTATGAAGTGTGTTGATATCAAAGACTATAGATTGATAGAGTGCTAACCACATCTCTACTCTCAGGCTACAGGGATAATTGTACAGGACCCTAATATCTTATTTGAAATTTTTTGGACATATGTTTTGGAATTAAAATTTTTCAGATTCTAGAAAGGGAATATGGTCCATATTAAGGAATACCCTGGGGGATTCAGGGCAGTGCCCTGTAATGAAACACATTAACATTTAAATAAATATTCACATTAAGTGAGAAATAAAGATTATAAATAGGATCATAATACTTGCGTCAGGTTTTGGAAAGTTATGAAAAAATTTGTTTATTCAGAGATTTTTAAATTTTGGAAATTCTCAGTAAGGAATTGTGGGCTTGTAATGAATTCTCAGGTTATTATGAGGAATGAAGGAGTGCTGGTAGAGTGTTCTGAACACATCACGATAGGTGCATACACAGTCTCAATCCGGAACAAAACATGAATGTCCAGGGGGATGGGTTTTTGGCATGAAAGAAAAAGTTCTTACAATGGGCAACATACAGCTTTGGAACCAGCTACTTGGGGGAGCTGGGCACAGCCAGTGATCGTAGGTGCCTTAGAAGAAGAGTCTTCCTGTGCTGTGGTGGGGGAGTAGGTGATGTCAGAACTCATTGCATCTGAACAGTGGCTGCATGTGATTTCCCTTTTAATGTATTGGGAAAGGCAAAAAAAATGGTGTGTGTGTAGGTATGTGTGACATGGGGTTATTGCACATACATTTCTTTATAATATATTTCTTTATAATAATGTTGTAATAAATATCTTACTGCATACATCTCTGTTCCCATCTCATTTATTTTCTTAGGACAGGTTTTTTTTTTTTTTTACAGAACAATCATGAAGAGAAGGATATGCACATATTCAAGACTTGGGACCCAGCAGAATTAGTATTTTGTCACAGTTTTCTACACAATCATTGCTTGGGAGGCTTTTAAACTTGGAACTTTATGAAAAAGTTATTAATAACAGTGACTGCCCATGCTTGAGTTAGCCATAGATTTCCTCCTCATCCACTTAGATTCAGTGTGATGACACCTGAAAGTCATGCAGAGCTTCTGGGCCTTTTTTACAGTTCTTTGTTAATGAGGACCTAGTGAGACTGGAGATGGCATCATTTGCTATTTAAGATCAGCAGCCACCTCTGGTAACTGATTGAGCTATCTGAGCCCAGTTATCTGGGCTGGGTTGTTCCTGGCTTTAGGCCTTTAGTACTTGTGATTATGGCAGTTTTCCTGGACACCTGGGGTTTGCTTGTTGTAGCCTATGGCTTTCTCTGACATAACAGTAACTCCCTACCTGATACACACATTTTGAACTCCCTACTGGTGTGAAAGATCTTTTGTTATGTAAAGTCCCTTCCATTGGGGAGTCTTAGCTGAAAATGAATACCTATTATACAACAACATGACTCTCATGTTTAATATCTTTATGCTCTGGCAGCTATAGCAGAATGAAATATTCTTATTTCATCATAGGACACTGACATCATGTGCTTCTTGTGATGTTGACCTGAACAAATGGGGTACTGATGCAGATGTTATTTGGGGATTGCACATTTCTTGGCTGAGGTAGCATGTAAAGGCAGATTGGCAAGACACCACAGAGCTTCAGCTTTAGGCAAGCAAGTGGTGTGGTTCTAACAGTTTTCTGGGGTATTAACATTTCATTCAGTTGGATCCCTTGACCTATGAAACTATAGGCCCAAAGAAAGAAGTTTTAGCTGTTAATTCTTGGAACTTTGATGGGTATAGGGGAAAGGGCATAGTGATTTCTCATGAGACCAAGAGCATTCTCTGAATTGTGAATGTCTTGAAAACCAGTGTTCCAGTGAAATTGGCACCCTGGGCACATTATCCAGATATTTAGAGGGTCGGGGCCAAGCCTGTGTACTCCTTCTCTGACGACAGGCTGGAAACAGAGTTTGGCTCCAGGATCTCTGACAAGTATTCAAAGACTTGACTCCAGAGTCAGTGCCACCTTCTGTGGCAGTGCTAAGCCTCCATGTTTGAGATAGAGGAGATTTTGTGTGAAAGCATGGGCAGACTTAGGGTGAAATTTTGGGAATGGGTGTGGGTTGGTTGTTGTTTGTTATGGTCTCAACTAGTTTCCTTACCTCTTTATTTTCCTTACATGATAACAGTTAGTCCTCTCTCTCTGCCTCCTGCCTCCTTCCAAGCAGGACACATGGCTAGGCCAAAGTGTGGAGATGCCAGTGGTATGCATACATAGCAAGAGCTTCATAGCAGTTATCTGGTAAGAGTCATATGCTGACAGTGGGACAGAGATGACATCATCCTCACCTCCAGACCCCAGACTCTACTGCGAGTATCGAACAACCTCCACCCTCATGCTTTGTTCTTGTCCTGTTCATCAGAAATGGCTTTTTCTGAATGTGAAGCTTTCCAGGAGCTGATCTCTGATCTGCTTAGTGCGGACACCATAGATGAGGGGGTTGAGGGCAGGTGGCAACAGCAAATAGATGATGGAGAGAAGGATGTGCACGGGCTTTGGGACAGTATGACGACCAAAGCGGTGTGTGAGGTAGGAGAAGAGACCAGGCACATAGAAGGCCAAAATGACACAGATGTGAGAACTACATGTACCAAAGGCCTTAGTACGGGCTTCCCGAGTAGGCAGCTGTAATACAGTGTGAGCAATAAGCCCATAGGACCCAGTGATGCCCAGAATGTCCACTCCTGACACGGCCAATGAAAGTCCCAGCCCATACAAGTTATTGACCCGTGTGTTACCCACCACCAGCTCTACCACTGCCATGTGTGCACAGTAGGCATGGCATATGGTCTTTGCTCGGAAGTGCTCAAATCGTGCCACCAGCAGAGGGAAAGGCACAACAATAGCTACAGCTTTCAGTGCCAGTGCCAGGACTACATAGCCTACACGAGCTTTGGTAACTAGGATAGGGTAATGCAGTGGACGCCCTATTGCCACAGCACGATCACAGGCCATGGCCAGAAGCACACCAGATTCCATAGCAGTCAGTGCATGTACAAAGAACATCTGGGCCAGGCAAGCAGCATATGGCATGAGTCGGGGCCCAAGCCATAGCACAACCAGCAATCCTGGAGTTACAGATGTGGCTAAACCCAGGTCTGTGGCTGCCAGTGTGGCCAGGAGTAGAAACATGGGCTGATGTAGTGAGGAGTCTGTCCGCACCACTGCCAACAGTGCTCCATTGCCCAGCAGGGCCAGCAGATACATGGGCCCGAAGACCAGTGTCAGCCAGGCTTGGATACTCCCTAGCCCCGGAATGCCAGTCAATATGAAGTCTGGGTGTAGGAAGGTGACATTGGGCTGTGGACTTGCTGCCATCTTGAAGCTAAAGGGCTCTTTGGGGGGCATGATTCCTGAGAGGAAGGACAAAGGAAAGGTTTGGGGGAGTCACAGTGGCACAAATCCATCCATAGGGCAAGTGTAGGGGTATTGCAAGACTGGAAATAATCACAGGATTATTATAACCTGTGGCTTTGGGTTTTGGATGGATGATAAAGGTACAACCTTAGGATGGGAGAATCCTTACTGCTAAAAGCACAGAAGTGTTGTAGGGGGACTAACAGGAGGATAGTGGTGATTAGAAGGAGGTTGTGAGCCAGAGAGTGACTGCTACAGTGGCTGGTACAGATACTGCCTCCATTTGGAGGTCAGCTGTGGGTGGTACTAAGATGAACACTCTTCTCCCTCAGGATCCAAGTACCGTCAGTCTCAGTCTCTGTAACGATTGGCAGCAAGCCAGTGATAGGAGGTGATCAGGTCTCAGGTTATCCTGTCCTTGACTATGGATCCCTGGACAGGACCTCAGCTTCAGCTCTATAATGGAGGTAGGAACACTGATCTTAAGTGTTGCCCAGCTCTAACATTTCTGGGCATCAGCACTTTGAGAAGAAAGGAGGCAGAGTAGCAAGAAAGGAAGGGAGGCAGGCAGATGGGATTTGGAGTGAAGCCACGAGCCTGGTGCAACAGGTGCGTTTTTGGGGGTGTAAGTGCTTACATTATTCTGAACTTGATGCCGAAGTAGTCAACTTGAGGCAGCTGGAAAGTTGAAGTTGGGGATGAAGAGCAATGGAGAGATATGGCATTAAGAAATGGAACTTCCATTCTGTCTCCTTTCCTTCACAATCCAGAAGGGAGTCCCTCTAGAATCTCATTTTTGGAGCACTAGGGAAAGTAGAGGTGATAGAGAAGAAATAATTAAACCCAGCTGTATCAGGAAGCATCGATATATTGTATATGCTGTAGCAGTCATATGAGAAAGAAGCGTCTCTGATGTTGGAGGATGCAGGGTGAGTAGACTGACCCCTCCTGGAATCCTGCCCCCAGCAGAAGCTTAATGAATGTTGAATGGATACAGGGATGAGGAAGAAATCACCAGCGTAAAGCTTGACTCAGGAAAGATCCTGAGCCTGTGTAGGAGCTTCTCTGCCTTGCCCGGTGCCCTGGGGCTCTTTATGTGGCTGTTCTGCTTGTTTCCCTCAGGGCCCCTAATCCCTCTCACCTGTACCATATTAACTCTTCCCTGCCTGCATCTTTGCTCAGTGCTGATGGACCTGATAACTCAGGAAGAAAGGAGGCAGAGAGGAGGCAAGCAAGGAATAAGGCTACAGAGGGGAAAACCCTGAGAAAGGAACACTTCCCCTGGGAATCTCTGCTGAGTCCTTGGAGTTGGGGAGAGAGGCCTTGCTTTATTTTATAATAGCAGCTACCCCACTTTATCGTACTCTCTCCTTACTAGACTGAAAGAGTTGCAGGCATTACTTCTTTTTTTTTTTTTTTTAAAGATTTATTTATCTATTTGAAAGAGTTACAGAGAGGCAGAGGGAGGGAGAGAGAGAGAGAGAGAGAGAGAGAGAGACTTCCATCTGCTGGTTCACTCCCCAGATGGCTGCGACGGCTGCAGCTGTGCTGATCCGAAGCCAGGAGCTTCTTCTGGGTCTCTCACGTGGGTGCAGGGGCCCAAGGACTCAGGCCATCTTCTACTGCTTTCCCAGGGCATAGCAGAGAGCTGGATCGGAAGCGGAGCAGCCAGGACTTGAACATGTGCCCACATGGGATGCCGGCACTGTAGGTGGCAGCTTTACCCGCTGTGCCACTGCGCCAGCCCTGGCATTGCTTTTTATTATTATATGGGATTTTATATGGGATCTCCATAGCTTGCTACAAGGGCTACCATGTATTTGGCTATCAATAGTTATTGCTTTTAATTGTGGGACAGAACTGCCAGTCCAAGTAGTCTTTGCTGACTAATGGGCTGCTGTTGTTTGAGGAGCTGTAGATATCTGAGAAGGAAAAGAATTATTTGCCATCAACCATGAATCTACTGAAAATTCTTTATAATATAAAGAGACATACCCTTAAAATCACCACACTTTGCAAAAATCACACAATAAACCCCACAGGGCTCATTGGGGCACAGCATCCAAAACTTTTTTCAGTGACAGATTTTTCAAAAATTTAAAAACACATAAACATTGTACATATTTATGAGGGTAGCATGTGATGTTCTGTGCATGTATGCATTGTGTAATGTTCAAATCAGAGTAAACCTATCTAACTCAAACATTCATATTTTCTTTGTGGTGAAAGCATTCAAAACCCTTCTAGTTTTCTTGCAAAATCAGGAACAAGTTTTTTAAAAGATAGGGACCTAATAAAAATAGAAGCACTTTTTAATAAATACTATGACAAATACAACACTTTATCTCTTTTTAAAATTTTCTTTTAAAGATTTATTTATTTGAAAGAGTTTCAGAGAGAAAGACATAGATCTTCCATGTGCTGGTTCACTCCCCAGATGGCCCTAGATGGCTGGCTACAATGGCTAGGGCTAGACCAGGCTAAAGCCAGGAACCAGGAACTTACTCTGGGTCTCCCAAATGGGTGGCAGGGGCGCAAATACTTGGACCTCTGCTGCTTTTCCTGGGCCACTAGCAGGGAGCTGGATCTTAATTGGAGCAGCCAGGACTTGAATTAATGCTCATATGGAATGCCAGTATTTCAGGCTGGTCCCTAACACTACGTCTTGAGAATGATCTGAAATTTCCCCTGTGAAAGTAAGTGTTGGGAGCAGCTTGTAGGTTATTGTGAAGCAGTGGAGGAGGCTTATCTGAAATTTGGTGGGAAGTTGTGACTTCAGGTGTGGATGATTTATATAACACAAGTCAGGAAGCTGATAGCTACTTGAGGTGTGTGCATGTTGGGCTTTCCTATTCATCTTGGTTCAACTAGCAGTTTTCTGCATTTCTTAACAATAAAAATAGAAACACATATAAGCAAACATAAAGTTCACATTATGCCTAATTCCCTAATATATCAATTGTGTTTCAGCATACTTGCATTTCAAAGGCAGCATTATAGCAGAACTGTTTTGACTCTTGTGCCTGGCCCTATACCATGTGGTAAGGACACAGTGGCAATAACAAGACCGTGATGCCCTCAGGGGATTCACAGTCTATTGGACACAGTGGTCTGAATGGTTTTTGGAGGGTTATTATGGTGACTGCATCAACTCAGGTTAGTATAAGTTAAGAGTGCAGCACAGATAAAAAACAAAACAAAAAGCCTTTAGCTGTTCGTGGGAAATTCAGGGAAATGTTTTATGAATCATAGTAATGATCAAAAAAAAAGTTCTTTAGAATTTCCCATGTGTGTGCATTGCTTTACTAAGCCCTAACCTATAAGAATCATTTGAGATGGACACAGTTCTAGCCCTCATTTTACAAAGAAACTAAGGAATTGGGAGGGTAAGTAACTTGCCAAAGGCCACATAGATAGTAAATAGCAGGGTTAGGATACTCAGTCTGGCTCTAGTGTACTGGCTGTTAATCATTTCAGCTAAGATTTAGTTCATGAGTAAGAGTTTTCTAGAACACGAGGCAAAATGTACCCAGTTCCTGGGAGAAGGAGTTCAGGAGGCTTTGGAGATTGGCAAGTGGTCCCAGAATTACTGAGTGGGGAGATGTAGAAGGAGCTGCAACTATTTGGTAGTAGATTGGTGATCTCTCATCCATAGGGATGAGAGGAGCAGTAGGAAGGTGGGAGTAGGGTAAGAACCATGGAAGAGAGGGGCTGGTGCTGTGGTGTAGTGGATAAAGCTGCTGCCTTCAATGCCAGCATCCCATATGGCAATGGTTTGAGTCCCGGTGGCTCCACTTCCAATCTAGCTCCTCGCTATTGCGCCTGGGAAAGCAATAGGAGATGACCCAAGTGCTTGGGTCCCTGTACCCATATGGGAGATCTGAAAGAGGCTCCGAGCTCCTGGCTTCAGATCAGCCCAACTCTGGCCATTGTGGCCATTTAGGGAGTGAACTAACAGATGGAAGATTCTCTCTCTGCCTCTGTAACTCTGCCTTTCAAATAAATAAATAAATCTTAAAAACAAAACAAAACAAAACAAAAACCAAAGAACCATGGAAGAAAAGGTGGGGACAAAAGGCGCTTGGCCTCAAGAGAACACTAATGGAACTTTTGGCTATCTTGGGCACTTGTTCTTTGTGCAAAGATTGATCATGCAGTGAATCACAGATGCCTTAACCCAAGAAGTACAAAATTGAAGTTATTATTAAATTTTTAGTAATCTGCTGTATTCTACTCTTCTCACTCTTCAGTAACCAGAGATGCATTGGGAGAATTTGTCTTTAAAAAATTCCTTAGTTGGTTGTCCAGCCCCCAGTCTCGATTTATAGAATCTATCTGAACACATGCTGGGGGTCACCTAACTGGTTGTTCCCTGTGGCTCTGACCATTAGAAGAGGGGATTTGACAATACACTTGTGACCTTGTGGGACTATATGCCACAGCCTGCTCACCCCAGAAGAGGGTGCCACTTCTTTGCAGGGAGTGGTTATGGGGTTGGAGGAGGAAGAAAAGCTCATTGGATAGCTCAGTTGCTTCTACACTTGCATAGAAAATAGGAGTGTTCTATTTGGAGATTAACCTCAATGTTTTCACTTCTTTCGCTAATGCCACCACCACTAACATTCTGTAGAATAGGATTCTCAGATATCAGTTTGTGTACTGTGGGCTTGTTCAGTGGCTTTCCACTTGATCCAGTTATATATCAGAAAAGTGTGGGTTTTAAGGGTGCTGTTGAGCACTGAATTCTCATCTGGAAATGTTCTAAGTTGAACCATTGGCTGTTAAATCTCAATTCCCAGGTCAGTATGAGACTCCTGTTTGGTACCATGGTAGTCCTGGCCTTACCCTCCCCCAGTTTCAGGAGTAGCAGAGGGACTCTGCAAGATTAGATTCTACTTCTCAATGGAGTTGTGGAAGGAGTCATGAAGCCACCAGATCCATCTGTCTTATTACTTCATTTCTCCCTTCCGTCTCAGGTTCTCAAATCCTTCTACGAGAAGATCTAAAGTATTTCAGCAAGTTCTGGGGCTAATTCTTAGGCTAATAGCTGTATTTGCGTTAAAGTCATGGCCTTGAGAGAGGAAACATCTCTCCCTTTTCATTATGAGAGGAAATAGGAGATGTCAGGTTCTGGTGGTAATATGGAATATATATCAACTCATTTTTATAAACTCTCTTGTAATATTATCTGCTCTCCCTATCTATCTGTCTCCTTCCTCCACAACAGGGTCATTGTGTCTAGTTCCAGAAACTCAGGGAATGATGCCATTTTTTGACCATATAGCAATGACTACTATGGTCCTACAAGCTGAGGTCAAAGTTGCCATCCTTGTCTTCAACATTGTACCTCTACAATTTGATTAGGAACCTGAAACTCCTGTAACTTATCCAATCATTCTTTTCTTTCACTGAGAGTTGCTTTACTAACTCTGACCAGTGATGACTGAGGAGACCAGCATCAGGATGATCTTCAAAGGTTTTTCTTATAGAATACAGGTAGTTCCCATAAGGGTTCTCCATTAGCCCATTTACAGGACTCCTGAGGTGACTGCCTTTGTTGGGCTTGGATTGAAGCTGCCTCTCAATAAATTAATTCCCTGAAGTTCTTCTCTGAGGTGTTAATGCCTTTATCTTTTTTCCGTGATTACTTCCCTCCTCCTGAGCCACATTCCATGGGTTACTTTTTCAACCAAGAAAGTACATATGTCATTCACAGGACTTAGCAAATCTTATTAACAATTCACTATATGTCAAGCACAGGACTACAGTTGGTTAAACAGCTTCTTTTATGGTTGGATTTGTCATGGACTGTACGTCTGCCTGCCTCCCAAATTCGTACATTGCAGCCCTGACCTCTACCATGATGATATTTGGAGATGGGGCCTTTGGGAGGTTATTAGAGTTAGAGGAGTCATGAGTGAATAGAATTAGTGTCCTGTAAGGATAAGAACTCGACCTCTTCCTTTCTCACTAGGCCTTGTGAGGACACAGTGAGAAGGCAGCTGATTGTAAATCAGTAAGAGAGCTCCTTTTGCCCCCACCCCCTGCCCTGGCCCCTGGAACCTAATCATTAGGCACCTTAATCTTGGACTTTCCAGTCTTAAGAACTGAAAGAGAAATGTCTGTTTAAGCTACCTGGCATATGTTATTTTGTTATGCCTGCCCAATGGGGCTAAGATAGCATTCATACAGCCTCTAGCATGCCTTTCCTTAAGAGCTTGTGTGTTTAGCTCCTCTCTATTTTCTAGTAGGTAGTATGTCCTATTTTATGTCTCACAACTTTGTTCTGGAATATTGCAACACCTCAAAGCAGATCCCTTTGTCTTTAATATGTTCTTCATTTTTTTGTCATACTTTATTTGGGAGTGGCTAATAGATATAAAGGTATAAAGAATAAGAACACGTACAAGTATCAACACAAGAATTGACTATTATTACCATGTTGTCCTGGTTGCTTTTAGTTCTGTTTTTAATAAAAGCAATAATAATTACAGCTAAAACTAGTCTCTTTTATCCTCTGTAGTCTAACATCACCTAAGAGACAATAATTATCATGAATTGAGAATATACCATTCCTTTTTAAGAAGATTTATTTATTTTTTGAAAGAGATACAGAGAGAGAAGGGAAGAGAGCGTGCATACTTCAATCTGCTTCAGTCCACAAATGGTCACAACAGCAGGGGCTGGGCCAGACTGAAGCCTGGAGCTTCTTCCGGATTTCCCACGTGGGTGGCAGGGATCCAAGCACTTGGGCCATCTTCTGTTGCTTTCCCAGATTCATTAGCAGGAAGCCGGATCAGAAGTGGAGTAGCCAGGACTTGAACTGGCACCCATATGGGGTGTTGGCATTGCAGGCACATACTTAACTTTCTCTGCCACAGCACTGGCCCCAGAGTATATGATTCTAATTCAGTGTTTAATGCTTTGGTTAGTTGGTATATTTAAATACTTACATAAGTTATTTCCTACTGTATATACAAAATTATGTTTTGAGTTCTGTTCATACAGGTAAATATCATCTCTTCAAATTGTTACATCATTTTATGGCATATGATTATGTCAAATATTATTGACAGACTTAAAATTATTTCTGGTTATCTTGGGTGTGTTGACACTTGTGAATGTTTTTATTCTTTGTAATTTTACATCTATTAGCCATTTCTCAAATAAAAATGTGAAAAAAATAGAGTGAGTTTTGTGGCATAGCAAGTTAAGCTGCTGTGTGGGACACCTTAATCCTATGTCTGAGTACCAGTTCAAGTACTAAATCCTCCAATTCTGATCCAGCTTCCTGCTAATGTGCCTGGGAAGCAGTAGATGATGACCCAAGAACCTGGTTTCCTGCCACTTACATGGGAGACCTGGATGGAGTTCCTACCTTCTATCTTTGGCTTGGCCTAACCTTGTCTGTGTGGGTATTTGGGGAGTGAATCAGTAGATGGAAGATCTTCCTCTCTCTATAATTCTCCATATCTCTGTCACTTTGCCTTTCAATTAAATAAACTTTTTAAAAACCATGGCAAAAATAAATACAAAGAACACATTGGATATAAGAAGATCAATTTTGAAACTGCTACAATATTCCAGAATAAAGTTGTAAAGCATAAAATAGGACGTACTGAGACAGAGTTGTTAGGTCTCTATATATACATGGTGATGTGTGAAAGTTTTTCTAGGGAATATCTAGGAGTGGAATTGTTGGGCAATAAGGTATGCACCTTTATTTAGCAGATTGTTGATCAATTGCTCTTAAAAATAGATATTCCAATTTGTATTTCCACTAACAACTTTATGAAAAATACTCTTATTGCAATATCTTTGACAACATTTTATCAGATTCATATTTTTTGTGACTATGTCAATAAGAGATCCCTTGTTTTAATTTACATTATTCGTATACTCATATTTATTGGGCATTTAGGAGTTCTCTTCTGTATTTTTACTGACTCTTTCCATTGCCCATTTCTTTAATTAGTTGTCTTTTTCCCCTGTGTATTTATTTGTAGAAATTTTTTATTTATTCTAGATACCAGTCTTTTTGTTAGAAATGGTACATTTCAGTCTGCTTTCTTTTTAATTTCATTTATAGTGTCATTTATCTTAAAGAAAATTTGAATTTTAATAAAAAGCAAATCTTGGGCATGTGCTTCTTGTATGTTATTTATTAAGCCTTCTCCTACCCTGAGGTTGTAAAGATATTAATATGTTTCCCTTTAATAATGTATATACTTTGACAACACTTAGTATCTGCCTCCAAGTCAGGCACTGAACTAAATGCTCTACACATTCCATATCTATGTACTCTGTGTCTCTTTCAATATAATATCTCCGCGAAGTAGACATTATTATTTCCACTTTACAGAGAAAAATGACTGAGACATTGATAGCTTACTTCTGACTCATATAGTCTGAATTTGAATACAGGTTACTGTGAGTCCAAAATGGGCTCTCTTAATCACTATATATTATCAGGGATATGTTGGCTTTATTAAGTGGAATTAGGTTCATTTTCATATTTTTCTGATGAGAAATCTTGTTTCTCCTGGGCCTGTTTCCTTCTTTAGACCAATGCACAATTCAGGATTGAAGGAGCAGTCATATCATTTTACCTTAAATTTGTGGGCGAATAAAATGGCATTTCTTCTGACATCAGAATTTACTTGAATATTCTTACTTCCACCCAAAACGTTATTTTGTCTTCTCCCTTATAGCTTCTGTCCATTATGTGTGTGGAACTTTCTGCCTTCCCTCTGTAGTTGCAGTTATTGTGAATTCTGTGTCATACGATTTCCCCACCAAAGGTTTACAAGTGTGACTTCCAGTTTCCCTGAAGACACTTTCAATGTTCCCTAATTCCCTGATCAGAAATTCTTCTTGTATAGGATTTAAGGTAGGGGGTCTTGTTTCATACTTCTTATGGGGAGATCCCAATTTTCCCAACACCATTTATTAAAAAGACTTGTTTGTCCAGGGAGTTATTTTAGCTATTTATCAAATAATTTATTTAGTTATTTGTCAAAGATTAGTTGTTGTAGATATGTTAAATTAAATTTTGGGGTCTCTAATCTGTTCTACTGGTCCACATATCTATTCTTGGGCCAGTATCAGGCTATTTGATTATAACTGCCACATAATATGTACTGAAATCTGATATTATGATGCCTCTGGCTTTGTTTTTGTTGTTGAAGATTACTTTGACTATTCAGCGACTCTTTTGCTTCCATATGAATTTTAGTGTCATTTTTTCTAGATCTGAGAAGAATTTCCCTGGTATTCTAATTGGGATTACATTGAATCTGTAAATTGCTTTGGGTAGTATGAATGTTATGATGGTATTAATTCTTCTAACCCATGAACATGGACAATTTTCCCTTTTTTTGCATCTTCTTCCATTTCTTATTTTAATGTTCTATAATTTTCATTGCAGATATCTTTTATGTCCTTGGTTAAATTTTTTCCAAGGCATTTACATTTTTTGTAGCTATTATGAATGGGACTAATCTTAGAAGTTGCTTCTTACTCATGGCATTGTTTGTATGTACAAATGCTATTGATTTTTATATTTTTGTTTTATATCCTGCAACTTTGTCAAATTCTCTTATGAGTTCCAGTTTTCTTTTGTTTTCCCTGTTTTATAGGATCATATCATCTGCAAACAGGGACAATTTGGCTGCCTCATTTCCATTGGTATCCCCTTGATTTCTTTTTCTTGCAAATATCAAAATCTGAAACCATCATATTATTAGAGGAAAACAGGGGAAATGCTGCAAAACATTGGCCTAGGGAAAGATTTCATGGATAAGACCCCAGAGACATAGGCAATAAAAGTAAAAATAGTCAAATGGGATTATATCAAGATAAGAAGCTTCTGCACAGCAAGGGAAACACTGAGCAAAGTAAAGAGGCAACATACAGAATGGTAGAAAACATTTGCCAACCATACATCTGATACAGAATTGATATCCAGAATATATAAAGAGTTTGAAAGCTCAACAACATCAAATCAAGCAATCCAGTTAGGAAATGGGTTAAGGATGAAATACAACAGAGACATGCAAAGATGCTCAGTATCACTAGCTGTCAGGAAAATGCAAATAAAACCTACCATTAATTTAACCTCACCCCAGTTAGAATGGCTATCATCTAAAAATCAAAAAATAACAACTAGTGAAGATGACTGAATAAGGCATAGCCACACTAACTTAAGCTGCTGTGGGATCCAAAAAGAACAAAGCGGGGCCAGCACTGTGCCTCACTTGGTTAATACTCTGACTGCGGCACCAGCATCCCATATGGGCACTGGGTTCTAGTCCCGGTTGCTCCTCTTCCAGTGCAGCTATCTGCTGTGGCCCAGGAGGGCACTGGAGGATGGCCCAAGTGCTTGGGCCTCTGCACCCGCATGGGAGACCAGGAGAAAGCACTTGGCTCCTGGCTTTGGATCGGCACAGCTCTGGCCACAGCAGCCATTTGGGGAATGAACCAGCAGATGAAAGACTTTTCTCTCTGTCTCTCTCTCTCACTGTCTGTAACTCTACCTGCCAAATAATAAAAAAAAAATCCCCCCCCTCCCAAAAGAAGAAAAAGAACAAAGGAAGGACCATGTTTCCAGGGGTCTGACTGATGGAAATTATCAGTGAAGAAGTGAAAACAAAGAAACAAAAAAGACCCCGTGGGACAAGGGGAGAGAAGAGACACCACTCAGCCAGCCATGTGGTACAGCAAGCTGCAGGCTATGAACTGTCATCATAATACACCAAAGTAGGAAGAAATTGCCATGCACCTGGCTGCTGGCTGTTTTAGCTGACAGGAAATTCCACAGTGACCCACCGACTTTTACTTCAACCTGGAGAACTGTCTGGGGTCTGAGCAACTGCTGGGCTTGGAACAGGGAACCTCACTTGCTTCCTTACCCTCCCCCAATCCTGTGGAGCACCATACAGCAGAAAGTCATGCATCATACCTCTGTTATCTTGTCACCATTATAGTCAGAGTCAGGGCAATGTGTGGGACAAAGGACAGATGCCCTGCGTCCTGCAACTGTGGGAGTTTTGGAACGTTAGTAGCAGAGCTATGCCCACACTTTGTAGCAAGGGGGATTCACTTTAGCTTCTGGAAGCTAACACTAGAAGCAGCCCATTAAATAAATTCTAAATTTCTCAGTGCCACTGGGATCCACTCAATGGATATAGGGAAGAACCTACCTGCATTTCACCTCTCTGAACTCATACCCTCCAGAGTAATATCTCTTGTATACGATGTAGTCACCCCATAGGACTGGAACAGGTCCATCCAGTTCATATCTCCTAGTCCCAGGACTAGAGCTATTGGTATTATAAGCCATAGCAGTTGGACTCTCCTAGCAGGACCTGAGGAAAGGCCCATCCATATCACACAGTCCTAGATCCACAGCAATTGGTGCTCTAAGTCCTGGCATCACTCAGCTTTCTAGTAGGACAAAGGGGGCAACCACCCCTGTCCCCCTTAACACCAAGAATAAGGCCTTGGCTGTCACATTAGCCAGGGAGACTTGCACTGAACTCTCTGTGACAGAAGATACACACCCAAGCAAATCCTTATTCATCTCAAAGCCACACTTCTATCCCTTTGAACTGCAACAGACTAGTCCACTGTGTCACTTATAGACACAGCTGGCATGGATTAAGACAAATCACTCAGAGGCTCACCTAGAACCAAAGCCAAAGCAAGTGACACCCTGCATTCTAGTTAAAACATAAACTCTCAGTAAACTGTACCCCATATAGAAGAAGGGATGAATACAGCAGATGGGCAGACATTAATGTAGAGACACAGGAGATAAGAAGAGCAAGGGAGCATGATAGCTCCGGAAGAACACAGTACTCCAGAATTAGATCCCAAATTGCAAGAAATCTGTGAAATGACGGAAAATTAAAAATAATGATTGTAAGGAAGCTCAATTAGAGGCAAGAGAATACAGATATATTGAAGAAATCAATGAATGACATGAATGACAATATTACTAAGGAGATAGAACTAATAAGAAGAATCAAATAGAAATTTTGGGGATGAAGTATTCAATCAGTGGAAAAAATATGATTGAGGGCTTTAATAGAAGAATAGAACAAGTAGAGGAAAGAGTTTTTTTTTGACCCTGAGGACAAGAATATTGAAATAGCACAGACAAAATAAAGAGAAAGTAATTAAAAAGAATGAAAAAAGTCTATGTGAAAATTGGGATACCATTAAAAGATACCTTTGAAAGAGACAGGGACATCCAGATAATAAGAAGCTCAAAGAACCCCAAGCAGACTCAACTGAAAAAGGTCTTCTCTGAGGCCTATCATTGTCAAATTGTCAAAAGTTAAAAGGCAAGGAGACACTCCTAAAGACAATAAGAGAAAGTCACCAAGCTGTATCTAAAGCAAAACCAATTAGAATAACATCAGATTTCTCAACAGAAAACATAGAGGCCAGAAAAGAGAGGGATGATATGTTCAAAGTCTTAAAAGGAAAAAACTTCCACTCAAGAATATTATATCCAGCAAAACTATCCTTTAAAAGTGAAGGAGAAATAAAGTACCTTCCAGATAAGCAAAAACTGAGAGAATTCACCACCACCAGACCAGCTTTACAAGAAATTCTGAAGAGTGTGTTGCATTAAAAGTAAACATCATGAAAACACATGACACCACCAAATTCACTAATGGAGCAGGTAGAATCATTATCCAGTCCACCAAATGACAGGTCTTAGTCCTTATCTATCAATACTAACCTCAATGTAAATCAATTAAATTCATCAACCAAAAGACTTATGTTGGCTGAATGAACAAAAAACCATGACCCCACCCACTATATGTTACCTTTAAGAAACTTGCTTCCCAAAGATACATACAGACTGAAGGTAAAGGGTTGGAAAAAGATATACCAGGCAAATGTAAACCAAAAGAGAGCAGGCATAGCTATCTTTTAAATAAAAAACTTTAAAAGACTTTAAATAAAAAACTGTAAAAAGAGATAAAGAAGGATATTATATTTTGATAAAAGCTTCAGTTCAGCAAGAAGACATAGTGATCATAAGTAAATATGTATCCAACACAAGAACACCTAGATATGTATATAGAAAATACTAAACCTAAAGGGAGAGATACACTTCCACACTCCACTCATCAATGGACAAATCATCTAGACAAGAAATCACTAAAGATACATCAGAGTTGAAAAATACTATCCAGCTAATGGAACTAACAGACATTTACAGGACATTTCATCCAATAGCTACAGAATACACATTCTTTTTTTAAAAAAATATTTGTTTTATTTATTTGAAAGAGTTACAGAAAGACGTAGAGACAGAGTGAGAGATCTTTCATCCACTGGTTTACTCCCCAGATGGACGCAAAGGCTGCAGCTGTGCCAATCCGAAGCCAGGAGTCAGGAGCTTCTTCCAGGTCTCCAAGATGGGTGCAGGGGTCCAAGGAGTTGGGCCATCCTTTACTGCTATCCCAGACCATAGCAGAGAGCTGGATCAGAAGAGAAGCAGCCGGGACTAGAACCAGCACCGCATGGGATGCCGGCACTTCAGGCCAGGGCTTTAACCCACAGCACCACAGTGCTGGCCCCCACATTATTTTCATCACTGCATGGAACACTTTCTAAGATGGACTATATATTAGGCCACAAATCAATTCTGAGGAAATTTTTAAAAGATTGAAATCATACCATGTGTCTTCTCCGACCATAAAGGAATAAACCTAGAAATCAATAAGAAGAATAGAACACTCATAAATACTTGGAATTAACCAACATGCTTCTGAATCACCAATTGGTTATTGAAGAAATGAAAAGGAGGGGCCAGCACCGTGGATTACTTGGTTAATCCTCCGCCCGTGGCGCCGGCATCCCATATGAGCTCTGGGTTCTTGTCCCGGTTGCTCCTCTTCCAGTCCAGCTCTCTGCTGTGGCCTGGAAAGGCAGTGGAGGATGGCCCAGGTGCTTGGGCCTTTGCACCCGCATGGGAGACCAGGAGGAAGCACTTGGCTCCTGGCTTTGGATCAGCGCAGCTCTGGCCATAGTGGCCATTTGGGGAGTGAATCAACAGAAAAAGGAAGACCTTTCTCTCTGTCTCTCTCTCTCTCACTAACTCTGTCTGTGAAAATAATTATAATCAAATAAAAGAAGAAATGAAGAAGGAAATAAAAATATTTCTTGAAATAAGTGAAATTGTCCCTGCTAATGGAGCTGAGAAAGCAGCAGAAAATGGCCCAAGTGCTTGGGCCCCTGCACCCATGTTGGAGACCTGGAAGAAGCTCCTGGCTCCTGGCTTTGGCCTGGCTTAGCTCTGCCAGTTGTGGCCATTTGGGTAGTCAACCAGTGGATGGAAGATACTCCCCCTCCCCTCCTTTCCTCTCCCCTCCTCTCACCTGCCCTCCTCCCTTCTCCTGTGCACTCTCTACCTCTGCTCTCTCCCTTACCATCTGCTCTCCTCACCCCCTCCTCTCTTCTCCCCTCCTCTCCCTTGCCCTCCCCTCCCTTCTCCTTTATTCTCCCCTCCCCTCCTCTCTCCCTCCCTTGCCCTCCTTCTTCTGCCCTCCCCCTCTCCTCTTTTCTCCCCTCCCCCTCCCTCTCCTCTCCTCTCCTCTCCTCTCAAGTCTGACTTTTAAAATAATAATAAAAAAATTGAAAAGTCAACATATCAAAACTTGTCAGATACAGCAAATGAGGGAAGTTTATAGCATTAAGTGCTTACATTAAAAGAAAGGAATTGCATATTGAAAACCTAGAGAAATAAGAACCCCAAATCAGTAGGAGGTGAGAAATAAGAAGGACCAGAGCATAAATAAATTAAATTGAAACAAAAAAATCAAAAGGCCAACAAGAAGTTGTTTTTTGAAAAGATAAACAAAATAGATAAACCTTTGCCAGACTAACAGAAAGAAAAACTCAAAGAGATAAGAAAGGAGACATTACAACTGACACAACTGAAATACAAAGGATTATAAGAAGCTACTATGAAGAACTGTATACTAATAAACTGGAAAATTTGAAGAAGATAAATTCTGAGGTTTACATAACCTATCAAGATTAAATTAAGAAGATATAGACAATCGAAACAGACCCATAACAACCAATGAGATTGAAGCAATAATCAAAAGTCTTCCATCAAGGAAAAGTCTAGGACCTGATGGCTTCACTTCTGAATTCCACCAAAACATTTAAAGAGGAAGTAACTCCAATACTCTTCGAACTATTCCAAAATATTGAACAAGATGGAATTCTGCCAAACTCTTTTTATGAGGCCAGCATTACCTTGATACAAAAACCAAAGACATGACATGAAAGATATCCTTAATGAACATAGATACAAAGATTCTCAACAAAATACAAGCAAATAAAATCCAAAACCACATCAAAAAGATCACACATTACAATCAAGTGTTTCATCACAGAAATGCAAAGGTTATTCAACATTTGCATATCAATAAGCATCATAAATCACATCAATAGAATGAAGAACAAAAACCATATGGTCATCTCAAGTTATTCAAAGAAAGGATTTGAGAAATTTCAACACCCTTCGTGATAACAACCCTCTATAAGTTAGATATAAAAAGAACCTTTAAAATTATAAAGGAATAAAGGCTTTGTATCACAAGCCAACAGCCAATATATTTAGTGAATGGAGAAAATCTGAAAGCATTTCCCCTCAGATATGGAACAAGACAAAGATGTTCACTTTTTCCACTTTTATTCAATATATTACTGGAAGATTTAGCAAGAGCAATTAGGAAAGAAAGAAATAAAGGACATCGGAATTGGAAAAGAGGGAGTGAAAGAATCTATGTTTGCAGATGACATGATGTTGTACATGGAAAAACACAAGCACTCCACCAAAAAAGCTGATAGAATAGATAACCCAATTTAGATTACAAAATAAATGTAGAAATTCAGGTTACAAAATAAGCATACAAAAAACAGTGGCGACTGTTGAGGAACAGTTTCTTTTTTTTGTGCAAATTGTTAAAATTTTTACTTAGTATAAAGTTTGTCTTCTGTGTATAAAGTTAATAAAAATGGATCTTCATGGAGAATGGGGCTAGGAATGGAAGGGGGAGGAGGAGTAGGAGTGGGAGAGTGGGTGAGAGGGTAAGTATGGTGGGAAAAATCACTATATTCCTAAAGTTGTACTTATGAAATGCATGAAGTCTGTATTCTTTAAATAAAAGTCTTCTTTGGGTTAAAAACTAAAAAAAAAATTAAAAAAAGAATCAAATAGCAAAAAGAAAAAAAATAAAGGAGAAACTGGTTGCCTCATGGGGAGTGGATAATAGTGGCTTTCTTGCATTTTATTGATGAACTCACAGAAAGAGAAATCCAGAAAGAAATTGTATTCACAAGAGCCACATACATAAAGAAAACTTAGGAATAAATTGAACCAAAGCAGTGAAAGGTATCTACAATGAAAATTATTAAACACTGATGAAAGAAATCATCAAGGTCAGAAAAAAATGGAAAGATATTCCTTGCTCATGGATTGGAGGAATCAATATTATCAAGATGTCTATACTACCTAAAGCAATTTATACATTCAATGAAATCCCTGTCAAAATACCAGTGACATTCTTTACAGTTAGAAAAAACATCCTAAAATTCATATGTAATCAGAAAAGACCTCAAATAGCCAAAATGATCCTGAGCAAGAAAAACAGCTAGAGGCATCACAATACCTGATTTCAAAGTATACTACAAAGTATGGTAATTAAAACAGCTTTAAAACTAATGCATAGATCAATGGAAGAGAATAGAGTCCAGAAATTAATCTGAATGCATGCAGCCAACTGATTTTTGACAGAAGTGCTCACGCCATACAGTGGAGTAAGGATAGTCTCTTCAAAAAATGGTGCTGGCAAAACTGGATGTATATTTGTAGAAGAATGAAATTAGATTCATACTTCTCAGCATATACAAGAATCAACTCAAGATGGATCAAAGATACAAATTTTAAACCTGAGACTATAAAGTTGCTGGAAGGAAATGTAGGGGAAACCCTCCAAGACATTGCTGTAGGGGATGACTGCTTGGACAAGACTCCCAAAGCACAGGAAACAAAAGCAAAACTAAACAAATGGGACTATATCAAACACAGAAGCTTTTGCACAGTAAAGGAAATGATCAATAGAGTGAGGAGACATCCAACAGAATGGGAAAAATATTTGCAAACCAGATATCTGACAAAGGTTTAATATCCTGAATATATAAGCAACTTAAAAAAACTCAACAACAACTCAACAACAATCTTTACTTAATGTACGCTAAACTGATCTTCTGTATATAAAGAGAATAGAAAATGAATTTTGATGTGAATGGAAGGGGAGAGGGAGTGGATAAGGGGAGGGTTGTGGGTTGGAGGGACGTTATGGGGGGGAAGCCATTGTAATCCATATTCTGTACTTTGGAAATTTATATTCATTAAATAAAAGTTAAAAAAAAAAAACCTCAACAACAAAAAGCCAACCCATCCAGTTGAGAAATGGGCAAAGGATTACAATAGTTCTGAAAGGAAGAAATACAAATGACTAGCAAATATATGAAAAAGTGCTCAACATCACTAGCCATCAGGGCAATTAAAATCAAAACCACAATGAGATATCCTCTCATCCCTGTCAGAATAGCTAAAATTCAAAATACAGGGAGTTGGATATGGTGTTGAGGATGTGGAGAAAGGGAAACATTTATACACTGTTGATGGGAATGTAAATTAGTGTAGCCATTGTGGATGTCATTACAAAAATTAAAAGAAAAATAACAAAGGAAGGAGGATGGAGGGTAGAAGGGAGGGTGGGAAGTATCATTATGTTCTTAGAATGCTATATATAAAATAGATGAAATATGTTACCTTTATATAAATAATAAATAAATAAATAAAAACTTGTAGAAGAAGAAAAAAGAAATTATTCTCTCCTTTGCCTTATGTACTGGTGGCAGTGTGAAACACCCTGTAAAATTACACTTACACTGGGAACTGCTGAATATCATTGCAAATCTGTTATGTTTCAATTTTCACATTACTCAAGTCTTCCTCTTTTGCAATATGCCATGACCACTCTGCATTGGCCAGCCACTTCTGTATGTATGTTCCTAGCCCTACCTTCTCCATTTTTGTGTGGAGGATGCAATGTCAAAGAGTTGTTAGGTAGTCTGTGGATCTTCAGCATGGACTGTCTCTTGAGTTCTGGCCAGTATGTCATCACCGTTTTCTTCCTCATTCTGTCGTTTACTTCTTATGCTTAGTCTGTTGTCACTGAACCTCTCCTTCTTTCTCACCCTCACCACAACTCCTGGATGATAAGAATTATGTTTGCTTCATTTTGCAAACTTTGTTGCATTTGACAATCAATGTGCTAAAAACTTTCAATATTCATATTCATACATTCATATTTTTACTTTCATCTTATGAGTTTGGTTTTTTCCAAGTCATATAAATGTATTTTGAAATATTGTTTAATATCTCTTCCAAAAATATAAATTTCACAAATATTTACTGTTGCTAAAAGATGTATAATGAAAAAAGTTAATCTCTTTCATCTTTTCCTCTTTCCAGTCCCTGTTCCACTCCTTAGAAGAAAATTTTTGTTAACATCTACTGTGCATCCAACAGACCTATCTCCCTGATCATATATACTTATATAGATTTTATTTTTTATTATTTTTTAAGAAAGCTTTTATTAAATGAATAAAAATTTCATAGGTACAGCTTTAGGGATATAGTAGTTCTTCCCCCCATACCTGCCCTCCCAACCCCACTCCCACCTACTACTTCCTCTCCCATCCCATTCTTAAGATTCATTTTTAATTATCTTTATATGCAGAAGACCAATTCTATACTAAATAAAGGTTTCCACAATTTGTACCCACACAGACACGTACAGTATAAAGTACTGTTTGAATACTAGTTTTACAGTTAATTCTCATAGTACTTCTCATTAAGGACAGAGGTCCTACAGGGGAAGTACACAGTGACCCCTATTGTTGATTTGACAATTGACATGCTTATTTATGATGTCAGTGATCACCTGAAGCTCTTGACATGAGCTGCCAAGGCTATGGAAGCCTTTAGAGTCCCCAAACTCCATCAGTATTTAGACAGGGCCATGAGCAAAGTGGAAGGTCTTTTCTCCCTTCAGAGAAAAGTACCTCCTTCTTTGATGGCCCCTTCTTTCTACTGGGGTTTCACAGAGATCCTTCATGTAGGATGCATTTTTTTTTTTTTTGCCACAGTGTCTTGGCTTTCCATGCCTGAATTGCTCTCATGGGCTTTTCAGCCACATCTGAATGCCATAAGGGCTGATTCTGAGGTCAGGGTGCTGTTTAGAGTATTTGTCATT